CATAGTTGAATTTGATTAAAAATTAGATGTCAAAATTTTGACTAAATTAAATTAAATTATTGAAGAAATTGACATAGTTGAATTTGATTAAAATTTGGCTATCAAATCTTTTGACTAAATTAGGTCAAATTATTGAAAAAATTGGCATAGTTAAATTTGATTAAAATTTGGCTATCAAATCTTTTGCCTAATTTAGATCAAATTATTGAAGAAATCAACATAGTTGAATTTAATTAAAATTCAGGTATCAAATTTTTTGACTAAATTAGATCAAGTTATTGAAGAAATCGATATAATCGAATTTTATTAAAATTTAGTTGTCAAATTTTTAACTAAATTAGGTCAAATTATTAAAAAAATCAGCATAGTCAAATTTTATTAAAATTCAGTTATTGAATTTTTAACTAAATTAGGTCGAATTAATGTTGAAGCTACTGAATTTTAAAAAATTTAGCTGATTTGTTGCTAAATGTTATTGTAATTCGACTAAGTTGAATTCATAGTTTTTAACTAGTGAAACCAAATTCACTTATTTTTTTATAAATAGTCTTTATTTCTTTTAGAAATATGAAAGTAATCAATTTTTTCAATTGATATAATTGCATTATGCACTTTAAAATTAGACATTAACTAATGTAATGTAATTTCAATATATCTATCTTGACTATAGAAAGTTCAAAGATCAGTTATCAAGGAAGCAGTTTTTTAGATATCTGCAATAAGCTTTCTAAGTAATAATTTACTATTTTCATAAGTCTTGCTAATATCTGCTTTAATACCTCTAGGACTTGGAAATGTAAAAGCTAGATTAAATTGCATCACAAAGTTGTATCAATTGCAAGCTTGTATTCACTAAATAGTAATATTAAATAAGTACTTAAATTTTATATTTTTAAAGTACTTTAAATTTTAAATACTTATTAAATATAAAATTTTATATTTATTAAGTACTTAATTTTTAATATTTTATAAATACTTATAATAAATATTTGTAACTATATTCCAACATACCTTAGTATAATAAATGCTTGCTAAATATTTAAAAAGTATTCAACAAGTGCTTACTAAGCACTTTAATAAACTTTGTGATATAACTAATCATTTTTCTGTATCCTTTTTTTTGAGTTGCATTTAATAGAAGTTAATAATCACTAACCATTCAGATGTTGCACATTGTAGTTTATTTTGTTTTGTAGAGTAATAGGATGTATATTTGTTAAGCATATCATTAATTTTTAATTGCTGTGATTACAAAGTTAATTCATCATCAAATATGTTTTTATCAAATATTTTATGATAGGTTTGTAAATAATAGGCCATATTTTTAGTTCCACCATCATATTTGTATTTTTGATCACATTCCTTCTTATTTTCTTTAAAAAATCTAATAATTTTGCAAATGTCATTATTTTTCTCTATTAAAAAATAATCCCAAACCCAGCTTTCTTTGTCTTTGTTGATATTTATATCAAAATTTATTTTGATTTTTTTAATTTGTAGTTATAGAAAGTAATAAATGAAAGTTCGAATTTGCACTAGCATTAGTTATGTTGATAGTATCATATTTAATCTCTTAATTCAGAATTTGCTCATTACTTTGTTAAATATCTGGCTTCATAAATTCTGTAGATATATTAAAATTGGCACTATGTTCAATATTTATTTTGTAGCTTTTGAAATGGATTATACAATTATATTAGAGTATGCAAATAGCAATGAAGATGATATAATATATATAAAAAGTTTATAATTTTAACCAGAAGTGTTTAAGAAAAAACATTTATCAACCTGGTAAGAAGGTATTATTAATTTTATTTGATGCTTATTTTTTATTAGTTATTATTATTTTTTATTTATTTTGGCTATACAATTAGAAGTATTTTATTTTATTTGTCATTTTTGTTTTTAAGCATCTGATTTTTATTTATACTAATTTTTTTCATATAAATAATATTAAGAGAAATCTAATTTTGATTATATAAAGTTTATGTAATCAAAAAATCTGATTTTCTCTTAGTATTACTTATAAATTAAATAATATTTATGAATTTATTTTAGAATTTTATGCTTTATATAACCCTGTTTCTAAGTATCTAATTTATTCATACTAATTTTTTTTTCATATAAATAATATCAAGAGAATTCCAATTTTTGATTATATAAAGTTTATATAATCAAAAAAGT